CCATAAATGGATCTCTGAAGTTTGCATACTTTCCGTGGACTCTTAGGATCAACATAACCCTCGGGTTGTGTCATGTACACATCCTCGAGCAAATTCCCGTTAAGGAATACGGTCTTGACGTCCATCTGCCATATCTCGTAGTCATAATACGCAGCTATGGCCAGCAGAATCTGTATGGATTTAAGCATCACAACTGGTGAAAAGGTTTCATCATAGTCTATACCATGAATCTGCCGAAACCCTTTCGCGACGAGTCGTGCCTTATAGGTATGCACGATGCCATCCATGTCGGTTTTCTTCTTGAAAACCCACTTGCATCCAATGGTCTTAATACCATCGAATGAATCGACCAAAGTCCACACTTTGTTGTCGTACATGGATTGCATCTCAGACTCTATGGCCTGGTGCCATTTCTCGGAATCGGAACTCGCCACAGCCTCTGAATACGACGTAGGCTCGTCATGTTCTAACAACATGAGTTCGTCGTTTCCAGTCACAAGAAAACCATATCTTGTAGGCTCTTGGCGAATTCTACCAGATCTCCGAGGTTCACTAGGAGGTGATGTCTCAACAACTTGTGATACAGGTTGAACTGTTTCGACCTGTTCACTCGGTTCTTCGACCTGACCAACACCTGGTCCGCCGGACCAAGCACTCGCGGAATTGACCAGTCAGAGACTTGGTCCGGAGCTGACCAACTCTTGGTCAACCGGACCAAGCACAGTGACCTACCGACAGTTCGAACAGAAGCCCGATCCGGCGGACCAGAATCTTGGTCCGCCGGACCAAGCGTGCTCCGGACCAAGGATTCAGTCCGTCTGACCTTTTGGTTCGCCGGACCAAAATTTCGGTCCGCCGGACCAACCATGCTCCGAGCGTCACGTTCTAGTCCGTCTGACTGGTCTGGTCCGCCGGACCAACTTTTGGTCAGCTCCGGACTAGACCAGTTTGTCGGCCTCTCACTCTGCCTCACCAAGTCCGTCTGGTCCGGAGCTGACCAAGAATTGGTCAGCTCCGGACCAGACTTCAAAGACGGAGAAAAATCCATTTTTTCTCGTACGTTCGATCCTGTACTTATACGTCCATCCCATATTTGTGTGACCCTTTAGGCTCCTCCGAATACGGCAGTAAACGCGAGATTCAATCTCGCTTTACAAATCATAAGCAGTCTCTAGCAAGACATTATGATTACCCGTATCGGAAAGAGTTAGATGTGATCTAACCGAAAAGCCGGAGATAGCTCTAACGATGATCCTCTTTGTCTCACGATATCATAATCTAACTTATAGTTCGAATGCTTTGTCGTATCCCGAGCAGACTGTAAGAGATAGATGACATTCATCTATAGTGCGACCACACATTTCTACAGTCTCACTCCTACGACGGGCCCAAGCGATATCTCTCTCTTTTGAGAGAGACAAAGTTCCATCTTGACTATCTACTATCCACTACATGATTCGTAACGTACCCGAGCCACGCCTTTATAATCATCCGGTTAAAGACAACGTTTGACGCAGTCAAAGTACATTACTCGTCATGATGGATATAATAGATATCTCAGGTCTGAGGATCCAAAGTGAACCATCAAGTAAGATTCAAGTCATGGATAGAATCCAATTGACAATCTCACGCAAAGTCATCCAGTCACTTGTTCCAAACAAGTACTCATGATCGTGATCCGTATCCAATACACATGATCATCATCATGATCATCCATCACGCCTCATGTTAGTCTTAATTCATCATTGCTCCCACAATGACAAGCGACTAAGGAATTTAGGATCGTTCTTAACGATCCATGGATATCATTATTTATCAAATATGCAAAATAAATAATGAACAAACAATGCATTAATCCAATAAATACATCGTATCATACATAGTTCTCATATCGTATGATCATCCTAGGGCATCACATCCATCACTATCTGCTCAAACATGGATAATTGCGTCTGCAGTGTTAAGGAATGGACGACCAAGAATGATAGGTATCTTAGAGTGTTCATCCATGTCGAGGACCACGAAGTCAACGGGGATATAGAAGTTCCTGACTTTCAGCGGCACATCCTCAAATATTCCAACAGGATATTTAACAGAACGATTGGCAAGTTGGAGAATCATTCTAGTGGGTTTTAGCTCACCCACATTCAATTTCTTGAAGATCGATAATGGAAGAAGATTGACGTCGGTTCCCAGATCAAAAAGTGCACGATCGATGGAAATATTACCCAATTTACAAGGGATTGAGAAACTACCTGGATCGGACCGCTTAAGCGGAAGCTCGTGTTGGATCAGAGCACTGCATTCAACAATAAGCGCCATGGTTTCTTTCTCAATAACCCTTTTCTTGGTCAGGATGTCCTTCAGATACTTCGTGTATGAGGGAATCTGCAAAATAGCGGCAGTGAATGGCACGGTTACCTCGAGTTTCTTCGGCATCGCAACGAACTTTGCGAATTGGCTGTCTTCGTTGTGCTTTCTCAGGTGGGATGGAAACGGTACTGGTGGTGACCTAGGAGGAGGCACGTAAACTGGTGCAGGTGTATCATCGGGAGTGTCTGAAACTGTGGTTCTCGAGCTACGTCTTGTTCAACCATTGGTGCGTCTCCAGAATCTACCTGCTTACCACTTCTCAAGGTAATAGCATTGACATGTTCACGAGGATTAGTCTCAGAGCTATCTGGAAGAGACCCAGATGGTCTTTGAATGGCTAATGCTAGCTGAGCAATCTGATTACCTATGATCTTGAAGTGAGCCTCAATGTTCGCGAACTGAGCTCAGAATTCCTGGTTCGCCTTCTCTTGATTCTGTATAAGCAAAGCATGCGTATCAAGGTTGGATTCAGGATTACCTAGAGGTGCGACATTGATGTAGGATTGCCCTTGAGTTCTATAGTTGGAGTTCTGATTTGGACCCCTGGACTGAAAAGAAAAGTTAGGAGGAATCCTCGTGTTTGAGTTGTTGGATGCTCTGAAGTTGTTCGGCGCGAAATTCTCAACATTGTCCGATTTGTAGGAGAGATTGGGATGAAATTTTTCAACCCAGATTGTACGTGTCCGGGTAGGGATTGTTGACGACATAGCTCACATATTCGACTCTCTTATCCATGCATACATACCGAGCTCCTCTTGTGTTAGCGTCGAATGCTCGGTCCTAGAGGGTCGTCTGGAATCTTCGAGCTTAGCATTGAGGACAACCAATTGTTGAGGACCATTTGCATGGTCTGATCATTGCATTTCTTTGGCAGATCTTTAGAATACTCGCTCGGAGTGTCTTCTTCTTGGGCCATCATCTCAATATGTTCTTCTAGCTCGACGAATGACTTATTCTGGATACTCCCACCGCAAGAAGCTCGGATCAAGGTCTTTGTATCCATCGTGAATCCTCAGAAGAAGGTGTTGATTAGGTAGTTCTTGTCTTGTCCGTGATGAGGGCAAGACTTATGATATCCCTTGTACCTCTTCAAGCATCATAAAGACTTTTCCCATGATCCTGCTTGAATGAATGAATGCCAGAAAGAATTGATTGAGTGCGGTGAACTGGGAATTTTTTTTACATAAATTGCATTCCAGTTGTTCCCAAGTGTGGATGAAATTGGGTGTCAGATCATAACACTATTCCAGAGTAGCATCCAAGAGAGTCCAGGGGAAAGCAATTAACTGGAGTGTATCCTCTGTCACCCTGTTATCTCTCTTGATAGACCGATTTAAAGCAAGTTAGATGTGCGTTCGAGACTTCGTTCGGCCTATCCCGGAAAGCATTGTTGCCCAACATCTAAATAGTAGTAGATGGGTTCAGCTCAAAACTAGACATGTAGATGGCTGGTAGTCGAATACCACCCCAAAGCTAAGTGTGTTTAATTAGGCGTGTTGTACTGGGCAAAGGTTGAGTTAGCATTTCCCTCGGCACCATCAGGAAGACCGAGATCTTCGTTATTCTCTATCTATTTTTTGGTGACGTCGTATGTGTTTCACAATTCTTTTGAGTTTAGGATCAAGAGGTACTAGGTCTCATGTCCCAACACTCCTGGTCATGCATAATAACACATATTTTGTGTGATGTTTTGATATAGAATGTCTAGCGTATTTCACTCGGTTTTACATATTTATAGACATTCTATGACACATTTGGTTTCGATATTGGTTGGTTGTGTTCTTTGGTGTTTAAATAGGAATCCACACATAAAGAGAGCAAAAGGAGTGGAAAATATAGATTACGGAACATCACGGACGAACCGGGAACATTTGGAGTTGTTTCGGAGAAAACGTGAAGCTTAGAAAAGTCAGATATTGCAAGTCCAATAACTTTTACTTTACAAGTCCAAATCATGCATTCTCTACATTGGAAATCTCTTTTCGATATCTACGCATAGACATCAAGATCACCCAAATCCGATATTGAAGCAGGAAGTTATGAACAAATTCGTGAAGCCCATCAAAACTGTGATCGATGTGACACGATCGTGTCACTTATTGCCGACACGATCGGGTCACTTAAATTCCGTAAATATTCTAAATTTGCACAAAAGAAAGAGAAAATAACTAGGGTTAGCCTCCAGGATCGAAAATAGTCATACTTTGACAGAGAATACACCCTAGAGCACACAAAAAGAGGGAGACTATCAGGAGACAAGAAATCAGAGTAGAAGACGGAGATTACGAAGTCAGAAAATCGACTAAGCATTCTTCATTTCTTCTATTTTACGATGTTTTATCTTATTGATATGAACTCTGACATCACGATATTTAGCGAGTAGTTCTTTTGTTGTAGGTTAGGGATTTGCTACGTAGAAAACTTTAGTTTTTAAATCCAGACTTTGTAGTTTTATTTATTCTATTCGGTTTATTTTGTTGCTCTTAATGCGTCTGACCTTGTTGGCCACTTGATTGAATGAAATTAGGGTTTTAATTCGCATAGACATATGGGATTCTAACCTGGAAATAACTCAATAAATAGAACAAGTATTGCATCGAGAGATGGATATTTACCTAGGGATTATGATAGCGTCCGTTCATGCATCCAGGGTTTTAGACTATTGAATCGGAGATTAGTAGAATAAAGCTTTGATAGTGAGGTTAGACTCGAGAGGGTTAATCTCTACTTTAGAGCTTGAATTCCCTGAATTGGATAAATAGACTACCGAATTTGCATCTTTTGAAAGACTCTTGCATGTAAAGCAATATCGAAGCCTGCAGTGTTCATCATTCATAGTTTACAACCGTTTTTATTGTTTTTTTTTGCTACGTTCTCACTATCCATATTATTCCTTTTTTATTTAGACTTGGATTTGGATTTTATTCCGTTGTTTATTTGTCTTTGTATTTGACCTTAGCTACTACACACGATCCGTACACTTGCGGTATTTGTTGAGTGTAGGAATATTATTCCTTGATCATATTTCTACACCTAGATTTGTGACATCAATGCACACTAGACAAAAAACAACAATAAACGAAGAAAACGTAAGAAATCACTTAAGAAAAAGAAAAAGACCCAGACTAAATACGATCTAATTCTGTTGCCTAAATTATCCCCGGCAATGGCGCCAAAAACTTGATGTCGCAAATCTAGGTGTAGAAATATGATCAAGTAATAATATTCCTAGACTCAACAAATAACCATAAGCGTACGGATCGTTTGTAGTAGTTAGGATCGACCACAGGGACAAAAATAGACAACAAAATCAAATCCAAATCTAAATCTAAAACAAGAGAAAATAATATGAGTGTGAGGACGTAGTAAAACAAACAATAAAAACGGTTTTAAGCAACCAATGGCAAACACTGCAGGTTTTTGGATTGCTTTACATGCAAGTGTCTTTCAAAAGATGCAAATTCAGAGGTGTAGACGACACGATGTACAGGAAAACTTGAAGTTATGCGAATTCCGGTTTTTACCGAATTGGTAGTATGGTTTTACGAATTGATATTCCGATTTTATATACACTACCTTCTGTATTATTTTTCGCTGCAGATTATTACAAAGAAAAGTTTTAAATCTCGCACATTTTGAATTTCATGTGTCTTGTGTGTTTGTCGATGTGGTGCAGCTCGTTTTCTACAGGATGCGGGTTACGAGCATTACATTCTCCATCTCCACTCTATCGTCCTTCTTCTCAGCCACTTTGACTTTTGGTGCTTTAGTATTAGGCTCCCTTTGTCACTCATGCCTCTTTGCAGAAAGACAATTGCAGTATGATCTCTACTACCTCTCCCCTTAGCATTCCTCCTCACCTGGATATGTCTCTCTCAGCAATTGGTGGAAAATGAGACCCAGAAAATCACTCAAACTAATGTTGGTTGTAATGCTCTACGATGATCCGTGATATGACTTTTTGACTATGTATTGATTCATTGGTTTATGAATGCATTACTTTTTCCGTTATATGATTGGCATGTTTGTTATATTACGGTAGATATCCTTGAATCATTGCAGATGATTCTAACATCCCTGGTCAGTTGTCATTGTGGGAACAGTGATGAATTAATACCAGCATGATGTGTGATTGATGATGATGATCATATGCATTGGATGCAAATCACAATCATGGGTACTCGTTTGGAATGAATGACTAGATGACCCGTATGAGATTGTCACATGGACGTGAGTCATGACTTGAATCTCATATAGCGGTTCGTTCTTGGATCCTCAGACCTGAGATGTAGAGAGTATCTGATATGAGGAGTGGCGTGTCTTGACTGCGTCAAACATCGTCTTTAACCGGATGATCATAACGGCGTTGCTCAGATACGTTCACGAATCATATGAAGATAGTAGACATGCAATACGAGACTTTTCACCTCCTAAACAGGAGAGATGTCGCTGGGCCCCTCGTGGAAATCGGACTGTGAAAATGCGTGGCCACGCTATAGATGAATGTACATCTATTTTATCAGTCGGTTTGCCTAGACGAGTAAGCAGTTGAACTTGAAGGGTGGCTCATACCATGTCCTTGTTCAACATACGACATCGTGAGACAAAGGATCAGAACTCGAACTATTGTTGGCTTTGTTAGATCACCTCTAACTCTATTCTAGGTGGGTGGTCATGGCGTCTTGCTAGAGGCTAACCATGACTTGTGGTTCGGGAAAGGGTTTCCGAAGACACTACCACTTCGAATGGGCCTACAGGGTCACACACCATTAGGGATGGATCACACGTGAAGAGAACGACGCGAGAAAGGAACCACGGAACGAGTTGGAAGGGTTCCAGACGGCCAGACCGTCTGGTCCAGGCATGTCAGTCCGTCCGTTCCGCTGAAGAACGGACTGATCGTTTCGCAAGCACCAGACGTACAGACCGTCCGTTCTATGTGTAGTTACGGACCGTCCGTTCTGAGTTGAAAGCCAGACCGTCCGGTCTAAGACCTAGACCGGACGGTCCGACTTTCGGGCAGATTTCCTATTTCGCGTTTTAAGGGTTTTGGGCAATTCTAATTAATGAGTGAGCCACCACAAACCCTAGAAAACGAACCTGAGACGTCCAAGACACTCATGAGAGCTTAGAGAAGCTTGATTTTGAGTTCTATTGATTGGAATATCGATTCCAAGTCAAGGACATCGTTTTTCTCTTCACAAATCCTAGCAGATACGTTCCAAAGTGTTGGAATTCATCCCGCCGGTGTGGATACGTGTAGAGGAGTTGTGCTTTCATTTCTTGGTGATTAAAACAAGCCCTGGATCGATTGATACTTCCAGATCTTGAAAGAACGAGGTAAGTATTCGAATCCCACGACGATATACACGATTGTTCGGGTTATTGCACAATTGGTTTTGTGTGACGTTTGGCTAGGTTTAGATCTTTCCTTTCGCTGCGTGAAACCTAGAATCCAAACCCTAGATCGATGAGATCGCATGCTAGGAACCCGCAGGGAACCCAACAGATTCGTTGTATGCAGTGTCGACAGATGAGTGAGTCCATACGTTGATAAGGAAATACGATTTTTTGGTAACCGCTCCAACGACCCACTGGTCCTGGGGCGGGGAAGAGTCATTGAAACCTGAGATTTGGATTGAGTGATTCTCTCGAGGAGGCGATATGGTTACACTCTGAAAGACTTGAGCTCGAGTCTGAGGAGTTT